AAGGGACGGCCACTTTGTGCCAAGCTCGTCGAGGATCGCCTGACGGTCGATGCTGTTGAAGGCGTTCTTGCAGTCCAAAGTCACCAAAACCCGTCTATCGGAATCATCGCGGCGTGTCTCCATGTAGGTCTGACAGGCCCGGAAAATGTTCTCTCCGCCTGCCGACGTACCGACCGCAAACTGTAGGGGTGAGAAGTCCTCCTAAAAGGCAAGCTTGTTCTCCATACAAACTGCCTTCGTCACCCATCTCTGAAGCACATCACCCACAGCAATCGGCCGGACACCACCGTTGTCTTTCATCAGAGCGAAAAGGCGGGCGGCCGAAAGAGTTGTGGTGCAGCTGTCCGGCATGTTACCAGCGAGCATCCGGCTGACAAGGGAGGGCAGGGGGACGGTCTCGTCTTCTGCCGAGGCGTCACCTTCTCCCATGCAGGCACGAAGATGCTCATACCGCCATCCCGTGGGGCCGGCTGCGAAACCTCGCGGCGCCGTCTTGAGGGCAGCCAGTAGAACTCTGGGTGGGACCGTGAGAGGGAGGGGCGGTCCATCCGGGCCGTTCTGGGGCTGCGGCTTTGTGGGGAGCGGAGCTGCAGGGTGTAGGTCCTTGAGCTGCTGGAGTGTCGCCGCCGTCGCTGGAGCGACCTTGGCGGCCGTCAGCCGTCGTGCCGCACGTGACAGCTCCCCCTGTTTCACAAACCTCTCTGTCGCTCGCAGCTTGATCTCCTCTAGGGATGGCTCGGGCACGCCTTCCACTGGTCCGTCGCCACGTGGAGCGAAAACGTGGCGACCCTGCTCAGCAAAATTTCTGGACTCGTCGAGTAATCCTTGCCATTCTCCAGCAAAAAACGCTTGAAGCGAGAACCCCACTTGCGGTGGCCGCCCGTCCCGCCACGATTCATCGGGAACAGCAGCATAGTCGGCAAGAAAATAGCTGTCAAGCAGCCGACATCCGAATCCTCCTCGTCCTTCACATACTTCTCGGTGGTATCCACCACCATCTTTAGCGAGTGGCGGACACATCCAGGGATGCGTGATATGGTGCGAATGCCCAGCTTAAAGTGGTCATCCCGTTGCTCGGCAGTGAGAGTGCGAAGATAGTCAACCCCACGCTGCGGGAAAATTCCTTTCGAGCGAAACCAGTGGGAGTCGTGGGGCGGGTCAGGTTGTGGACCAGGGG